GCAGTCCATGAACATCTCCTCATCATCCTCTGTCTCCATGTAGTCCTCGATCTCGTCCTCAGTTCGAATCACGCCCACCCGCCATGGGTGGTTTCCATCAGAATCTGAGCCCCAAGAGTGGTCAGGTCAAAAACCTCAAGCGTTCTTGACTCTGGTGGGGTCTCCAACCTCACCATCTTCACTGCTGCTGTCCCTGGCTGTCCTGATGAAGAGCTGGCTCCACCTGGAGGGTGGCAGTCGCTTGCTCCTCAATCTGATTCACGTTGGCGCGCTTGGACCAGCAGTCTTTTGCATAGTGACCGGTCTTGCCACATACATGGCATGCTCCGGTCTTCCCCTTTCCTCCTTTGTCTGAACTCTTTCCTTTCTTTCCATGGCCACCTTTCTCCCATAGGCCCTTGCCCTTCTCCCTGCTCTTCCATGCGCCCTTTCCTTCTGCCTTTGTCTTTCCTTTGGACTTTCCTTTGCTGTCTTTCGTTTTGCCTTTTCCTCCTTTCTTTCCTTTGTCTCCTCTGATGTAGTCCACTTCCATAGGCGTAGCTTCATCCATGCCTGCTCTTGTAGGCAAGCTGAGGCTGTTTGAAGAGTCCCATCTTGTTGACAAAGCCTCCAACTCCATCACCTTGTTCTTCACTTGCTCATAGGTTGTGGTGTCTGTGGTCCACAGTTGTAGGTGAGCTCGAAGGTGTGGAGGTACAGCTCATCAAGACTCCGGACCTCTTCAAGCCTCACAGATCAGGAGATCAAGCAGTGGGGCGACTGGAAGTTCTCCTTCGTCAGGATTGAACCACAGATGACCTTGGAGGGGATTTCGCCTTCGAGGACATGACAGATGCAACGAAGGCCATGGCGGTACGCCTTTATGGAGTTTTGACTTCCTATTTGATAGGAAGACCCGTCAAGCTGCTGCGCCATATGAAGGACGAGAACGGCTTCGAGGCTTGGCAACGCCTATTGAAGGAGATGCAACCAGCCACACGGGCACGGTCACTTGCTTTGCTGACCCAGTGTGCAATTTGCTGAAGGAAAGACCATCTCCGAGCAGTTGCCGCAGTACGAGTCCATCGTGACCGAGTACGAAAGGGTCTCAGGGCATGCGTACGCAGATGATGCAAAAGTAGCTTCCATCCTACATGCCTTGACCATGTTGTAGTGGTCTGGTTCACAGTCAGGCGCTCCAGGGCCTGTGAAATCATTCGTGAGCTCTCTTCTGCCATTGTCCTGAGGTATGGGATATAGGCCAAATAGGCCTTTGTCGTCACCTTGAACTCAGTCACGTTCTCCTCAAAGACAAGGCCACTGTAGGAGAGCAGATTGATGTAGTCCCAATGGGCTAGCAGCTCACAGATGTCTTCGGTATCCGTCTGGTCTCTCAACCTTTCAGCAAGCCGGGACAGTCACAACCAGCTGCAGGGTCTCCCCTTTCCTCTTTCCTTCTTTCCTCCTCTGCACAATCAGGGAAGCTCGGATGTTCCTCTGATCTCTTATCCAGCGCAACCTTCCCACGTACTCCTCAGCCTCCACCAAGACCGTGTGGATATACCTGATCTTCCACTTGTCTCCTCTGGCCACCAAACTTCCACCCTGGTAGTAGCGCACTTCCTGGGTGAAGTTGTCACCTGCTCCTCCTGCAAGGCAGGCCAAAAGCAACAGCTCCAGAATCCAAAAGCTAGCCTCCTTGCTCACACTGGATCTCCTTCTCGTCGTCGTGGTGGAGCTCCTCGATGTCCTCGAGGTCGTAGTGCAGGTACGTGGGTAGGGAGCGCCGGCGCTTACGGCCAGCGCTCCGCTACCATGAAAAGTGGGACGCGGACCTTTTCGAGTAAACTCGGGCCTATACATTTGCGGTTCACATGCATCACCTTTGTGTGAATGGATGTCTTCTCCTTACGTTTCTACATGTTCAATCAGAATGGGAAAATCTTCAGATGAAAATTGGGGCCCGTCATGTAGACATGTATGAAATGGAAAATCCTCTCCTCTTCATACGCGATGATTTCAACAACAAATTCATCTCCAACACACACCTGGCGCACATGTCCGTGTCGCACCTCAATGCCCTTCCCCTACGGGGGGTACGATGTACAACAGAAGATATGTACCAAAAAAGTGCACAATCCCACACGGTTATATCGTGTGAATTACTTCTACAAGTAGCTACGTAGCCGAGAATTCCGAATTCATGGATCGAACTGCAAACCCGACAAATCTGTCTTATTTCGGAGACATTTACGAACCCGGTACAACCTTAGTACGGGGGCGAACGTAGATCGGTGAGTGGTCCGCAAACAAATGTTCTGGTCCGACCCACATGTCGCTAATGATCTCCACTAGCGAAGGATGGAAAATGAAGGAGTCAAACCTCGTGGCCCCGCGGCACGTGGGGGGGGAGCGTCTTCCCCAATCTTCCCAATGCACATTCAAACCCTTCCTCGCAACCCACGTGCGCAAAAGCGAGCCATGATGTGAGTGTTCGTATGTCCTGATTAAAATCAGCTGAAATGATTACACCAGCATAGACCCAGATAGCTAGGCAGAATCCCACGACCTGTTGACACGCGACTGGCTGGAACAAGAATGTACGCAGCCTGCACAGCCAGCTTACGGCACCTCCACAGCGCGCACAACCAGCTGACACCAGCGCCGGCGCGCTTTGCCAGCTGACAACACCGGCAGCGGCGCCAGCACCCGACCAGCGCCGCCGCCCGTCTTAAACGCGCGCTCAGCCAGCTCACAGCACCGGCACCGACACCCTTTCAAAAGCGCGCGCAGCCAGCTCATTCTTATTTGCAGCAAGAACGCCATAGCTATCCCTATTGGGGGAATAACAACGTATGATCTTGCGCGTGTAAGTTGATGCACACACAAGTATGCGCGCAAACAGCAAAGCCCGTAAGTGTCATTGGCCAAGGCCAAGCAGTATCCAGCGCCACTATTGACCTTGTAGCATGATTGAAGCAACGATCTGTAGAACGATGAGGCCGTATGATCTTGCGCGTGTAAGTTTATGCGCGCAAAAGTATGCGCACAAACGTCAAAGCCCGTAGGCTTCACTCGCCCAAGGCCAAGCAGTATCCAGCACGACTATTGTGTGTGTAGCACGCTGAAACATGCTGAAACAATGGTCAATGGTCGGTTGAGAGCCTGACGTTGCGCATAAAACATTATACGTACAAAAGTATGCGCGCAAACAGTACAGCCCTTGACATAGCTGTGGGCCAAAACAGAACTTGAAGAGCGTCAATACACGTGCACAGCCAGCTCACAGCACCAGCACCAGCACCAGCACTGGCGCCCAGCGCCGGCACCAGCACCCGGCACCAGCACCACCAACCTTTCTCCACCACGTACAGCCAGCTCACAGCACCAGCACCAGCACCCCACACCACCAGCAACCTGTCCCCACCACGTGCACAGCCAGCTCACAGCACCAGCACCGGCGCCCGGCGCCCATCACCACCGCCCGCCTGGCACCCAGCACCACCGGCGCCCGGCACCAGCACCAGCACCGGCAACCTGTCCCCACCACGTGCACAGCCAGCTCACAGCACCAGCACCAGCACCGGCACCCAGCACCAGCAACCTGTCTCGAAAGCGCGCACGGGCAACTCATTGCAATTTGAAGTAAGTAAGAACCCCATAGCTTCGCTATCTGGGGAATAAAAGGCATACCAGTTTTGGCCACATAATCATACAGGTGTGAGAGCAATATATCGTTGCGTGCTTGAGCTTCGAGTGTGCGACCCGGGAAAAAGTATGCACACACCATCAACACCTCAATGGTTCCAAAAGAACACACGCACGATACAAAGCGACATGATTGATCGAGTAAGGTTGTATCAGAAATCCGGGCTGCCCTCGACTGGACAAGTGTCATAATGGCTGTTCCCAGAGCCTCCCCCCTCCTGGAAGGTTTATTATCTCTCAAAACGGAAGTTTTTAATCTTATCATCAACAGCTTGTCCCCAAAAAATCTGATACTGAGTATGCACGATAGATTGGTAAAATTCTCGTTGAATCATTGCTGTTGCCGACGTCTCAGCTACTGACAAGATATCGGCGTTCAGAGACAAAAGCAGTTCTTTTCTATTCGCATAGATGTTGGGTTGACGAGACAAACATCGACGTAATCATCTAGGCCGGGCTTCTCTGCTTCGCCGATGCGAACTCCTATGTATGGATTGTGACATAAGACAAAAATGACCGGTACATGTTATTACAGCTTGGCGTCATCCGAGTGGGCAGACCACTCGGAAAGCCCGACCGCATCTGGTCGGCGTTGTGAGACATGCACAGAATTAGTCGAAGACCTAATGGACACAATCGTTGGTACGAAAATGAATTCTTGTTCATTTCAATTGGTTTATTTATCTACAGAGTCTACGGCCCTTGACTCCACTGAGACGCACCTCCCTCAGGCTCGCACAGGCGCTCCCCGCGCGATCGCGGGAACGCCCGCTGGGGAGTGGGACACTCCTGCGAGTCGGGACGGCGCCAAGTGGGAAGAGTTGTCGGCGCCAAGTGGTTGATCTTGAATTGGTTCTTATATACTCCCTGGGAGTCAAAGACTATAAAAAGAATGGTCTGACGATTTCAGACATGACCATTCTTAAGACATGTCCGTTCTTCTTTCAGTCGGTCAAAATATAGTCAAACTGGACTTCTAGGGTACTGTATTGTTGCTTGACTCTGTAAAAACGACAACAACATATAACAACTCTTTCACCAAAACCCTTTACACCCGGGACCCCTTGGGACTGCTTGGGACCCCTTGTCTCGGTGGTCGAAAACCACGGAGACCTGTGACCTGGGATGAAGTTGAAGGTCAAGCGCCGATCTTTCTGCCGTTTCCAAGCATGTCAAGCACAGCGCACTCATCAACCCTCCAAGCTGTACGAATCATCACTTCACTCATCATCTTTGGATGCCAAAAAGTCGGATCTGGGAAAATCCCTGGATTCCATGGATCAGGATCTCACTCTCGGATTCCCTCTCACTCTTCAGGTTAAGAAGAGTCTGGCTTCCAGTAGGTCGTGACCCGAATGCACACACTCCAAGACCGGAGCGCAGCTTGCAGGTAGAACGTGAGATCCATGAGGTGAGGTCTGGCCCTCGCCCAGCTCAATGGGCAAATCTTGTAGAATGGAGGCTTGCCTGAGCCACCGGAGGGCTGGGGGGTTCCAGACCCATGTTGTTAGCGTGGTTGACATAAAATGGTCTATTTAAAAAGGGAATACAGTATATAAATACAAAAGGATACCAACGGCGCATCGTCTTGCAAATCAACAAGGCAAATGGCTCATTGAAAAATCCGCATCACACGAATGTTTCTAGATCTGTTTGTAGGCAAAATACCCTTCAACCATCCCCAAATCTCTCCTTGTCTCTCCTTCATGCACATAGTTGTGTATCTGTGTATCTTCATAAGTTTTAGTCTATGTTCCATCTTCCAGGGGGTCGAACTGAGGTCACGTTCTTTTTTACTTTTTCAATACCACACAAAAAGTATCGTTCTCTCTCTCTCTCTCCCTCCCAGCCCAATTCTCGTCGGCCCCTCCACGAAAAGGCCCAAGCTACAGCTCCACGGCTTGCAAGGGCCCCAACAGGTTCAATCGCACCGCGGCTGACATGCTGTCCCGCACCGCCGCGTAGGCGAAGGCATGAAGGCCCAGTGTCAAGTCCAGGTCCAGCCTGGAAAAATCGTGGTGTCGCCGTTGAAACAGCTGTGTTTGGAGAAAAAGGTCGGAGGTAGATGTAGCTGCTTCAGTTCTTAGTTCTTGTCTGAGAACTCTCGAACTACCGGGACCTGAACTTAGTCTTGCCGGTCAATTAGAGGGGCATCGCCTCTCGTCCAAGAGGTCGCCCTTGCCGGTCAATGCTACTTGTCGTCGTGATTGAGCCGCGCCTGCGCGACAGAAGGCCAAAGGAGGTGGCGTAGTGCCCTTTCCGCGGCCAAGCCACGCTCGGCTGCCACTGCTTTCCCACTCGGAGGAGGCCAGCTCCCTGCAACCAGGAGGCGCGACTGGCCACTCCGTTGCTTGCCAGGTAGGCGTTGAGCTTCACGTCCAACTCCTATTGGGCGCAGTGCAGCTTTTAAAAAAAAACACTCACCACTCTTTCGCAAATTGTCGGAGTTGACCACTGTTATCCCAAGAGGCCAATAGAATCAAGTTGACCACTGTTATCCCAGAATCCGGTACAATGATACAAGTAGATGATGGCAAAGGAACTCCAAAGAGCCAGGTGGTCAACATACAAAGTAACAAAACTACGCCAGCATAGACCCCATCTTCGCTGCTTTCGGACGCTTGCTTGCTGTCCGGTCCTGCCACGCGTCCAGGGTCTTCTGAGCACCCAGCTGATGGGCCTCTTTCACGAAGTAGCCCTGCAAACGCAGCATCGAGAGCGCACCTTGGAAGACCAAGCTTCGCAAGGACTCGAGGTCACCACTGCGCAAGAGGCCCAGCTGGTGGGCAGCCTCTATCCCATTGGAATGAGCAAATCCGCCCACGGGCAAGGTGGCATCTGTCAGTTGGCAGAGAATCAAGGACTGTTGGAGGTCAAACTTTGTGCCCTCCACACCCGCCACAACCCGCTTCGTTGGCGCTTCCATTGCTTCCATCGCTTGCGACCGCCCCGATGGTCGAGGCGATTCTAATGAGCGGAGAGGAGACCTCTCCGTGGGAGTCATCGACAGACCATGCACACGGTCCGCATACGGTTCGACTCCAATCTCCTCAGCTAGGGGGCTCAGGCAATGATGCAAGATCCGATAGACGTCTTCCGTCTTCTCCGCCACCAAGCGCGCCACCGTACAGCCGCTCCGCGCCGGCGCCGAGGACGGCGTCAGGCCCATGAGGGCACGTCCCGACAGCTCCACCGGACAGCGCCCTTCGGTCCCACGAGCGGCCTCCGCGACCCGCGCGCCGCTGCGCGCGGCCAAGAGGGAGGCCATGGCTTCCAGGCGAGCAGCGACTGGAGCGGCTTGAGGGCCAACCTAAGAGCTACAAAGAAAGAAGGATTGCTAGACCATGCAGGTAGCTGCAGGTTGAGGATGATAACATCAAGACTGACATGAGATATGTGGGCACTGACGAGAACACCTCAAAACACCTCATCTTTTCAACCACTGCTTCCCTATATTGAACAGCTTAATAACATCATTAGAGATGGTTCCAAGTCATCTCGCAGTCAAGTCGCAGCAAAGATGCTCACTGCTGCATCGAAGCCCGCGATCGACGGGCTCGAATTCGCCAAGGCATCTTCACTCGTCAGGAAGATGGAATCGATAAGGCCCGGCGCAGCAGGCGCACCAGGCACCGGCGGCTCACCGGGCATGGGGTCCTCCTTTTTGACGGAAGAGGAAAGAACAAGGAAGGCGAAAAGCGACAAACCACCTGGTCCGTATGTTTATGTATGTATGCATTTTGGAGGTCTTGAATGGTCTTGACTATAGCTGGGTGTTTCGTCTTTTCTTTGCTAGGTCTCAGGGGAGCGACCCAGCTGGGGAATTGAAAATTGAAAGAGGCGATCTTCTCTTTCGTCGGCACCGGTGCCTGAAGCCACGCAAACTCCAGGCAAGACTTGTATTCTCGGAAGGCCCAGCGTTCGCCTGTGGCCACGCGGCCGGACCCGAGCCAATCGACCACCACTGCTGAGGAGGTGCATTCACCATCGGAGTTCGCGTGCAAAGCGAAGCGCAGTGCTTGAGAATAGCTCCTGGGCGGTCTGAACATCAAAACATCGCTGCCTCTGCTCAGCCCCTGCGACCGAATAAGACCTAGACTAGATCTCAATCTGTTCAGTGCCTTCTATCAATCTGCTAAAGAAATAGAAAACAAAGGCATGATCGCGACTTGCAATTCGTGGCACCAGCCAAAACAATCAAGAATCCCAACCTTAACCTTTGCTTAAGCCCTGCTTCTACATGGAGTCAAGCCATTGCATCCCACGAGCTTTGAAGCTGCTGACGAAGAGTAGTCATCTTCAATCTTGGTCTTGTCCAAACCAAAAAAGAATCCACTTCCAAATAGTCTTCAGAGTCCCCTCCTAACACAGGTACGTCTCACCCCATATGTCCCGGCATGTCTCCAACGTTTTTTTCCGGGAACCGCCACCGTCTGCTTCGGCGTTCCTCGTTCCTTCCCGGTCTCTCCACGGCTCGAGTGGGCGAACGGCACCAGAGGATCCGGCGCCATGACCAGGAGCCCGGCAGGTGCGATCGTCGCGTCCAGGCGCTGCACGGCCGCCTGGCCATCCTCCTTGGCTTGGTAGACCTTCGTGGAGGCCTCGTATCGTATCGCTCGCCAGGGGTCTGTGAGACGCCGGACGGAAATCCGTGTCGGACCCCCAGGTGGCTCGGTGGCTCCTTTCTTCAGTATGACATTGCTTCATTGCACCCTTCCAGAGTTGTGTTTTTGATGGTTTTCCCATGGAGAAACTCCCACAAGTGTCGGGATGTTGGACCTCTCCTGAGTCTCCTGGTTGAATTGCAAACAGGTTCATGTATCACCATGACTCCATGACCTACCACGTCCATCACATCCCAGGCCACGGCCTGGGTGGTCAATGCCAAAGATGAGCCCGGCCCAACCTCGATGGCCACGTGCACCTCGTCTCCACCCAGGAAGCCACCACCGAAGCTTCCCAAGGCGCACCAGGCCGTTCCGCTTCGCCTGCGATGGAATCGATGGACCAAAAATCCCGAGAAGAGGAATAGAAGAAATCAAAAAGGAGCCAAAAGATTCCCTTTCACATTCACCTCATTTGATTCCCCCTTACTATAAAATTGGTCATTTTTCAGTACCCCTGTTCCCTGATTTCACAGAGAAATTGCCAAACTGGATGTCAAAAGCCACTCCTGACTGATGGATCCTGATGAATCCTCAACTCTCCCCCCAATTCCGAGGCTCTCTATAAGTCCCAGCCACTCGGCGGCCGCCGTGGCCATCGGAAGAAGCCGCACCGGCGCGCAGTGCGACAGCCGCACGATCTCCGTCCGTCGCCCCACCCGCGCGACCTGCAGGTGGGCCGAGCCCCGCTGGGGCGCCCGGCCCGGAAATGCCGCCCGCGCGGCGCGCGCGGCCGCCCGCGCGGCGCAATCGCGCAGCGGCGGCATGGAGCGATGGAAAGGGAGACGAAGAAGCGAGGAAAAAGCGTGGAAGATGCGCGGAACGCCGAGGTTCAAGCCACATGGCTGTCAGCATGTAAGATGAAAAGGTGCAGTCAGATCCGAAAGACAGGCCGAAAACATTCCAAGAACTGGAAGAAGCAGCAACAACAACAACAACAACAACAACAAGATGCGTCGGCGTCTCCAGCAGGGACCCCTTCACCAGGGCGGATTCCACGTCTTCACAAAGCGAGCCCATGGCCTCGAGAGGAGAGATTCCAGACTAGGAAGGGGAGTAGGTGCAGACAGAAACTGGACTGGACTGTTGGACGTTTCTAGAAGGAAACTGAGGTCCAAGAAGCTTCAAGAGCTTCTTCTCTCTGTTTTGGTGCAGTTTCTTCCCGACATAGTTATATAGTGGTATAGATTGGCCGGCCAAGTTCTTTGATGCAAGGAAGTCTTCACGACTGACTGAGGCCACGCGCCTTGGAATAGCTGTCCAGCTCACGCCTCGCTGGAAACACGCCCTCCCTTTGATCCTACCCCCTTCGACCCCACTTGATCCATTCTGAATCCTCATCTCATCACATTTGGCCGTAGTGAGACGAGGGGACACCGGCATCCAACAGAACCCAAGTCGAGGCCCTCATTTGCTTCGCACAACTGTGCTAAACCCCGTGGATCCGATGCGAAGCCATGGTAGCCATGGCGGGGCCCCGGACAAGACCAGCTGGCGATGTTCTTCCAAGCGCTCTTCATCACGGCGGATCTGCTCCTGCGATCCACCCTGTTCTCAGGCGGGTCAGGAGCGCTTCCGAACTCGATCGGATTTTCACGGATCCGTCAATGAATCCCATTTTGGGGCCAATGTTCTACTAACCCCAAAGGTGACGAGAAATTCTTCGAATGGGATGAAGAAATGAAGAACAATATTGACAGATGTGAACAGTGTGCAAGAGTCCCCATGTTCAGGCATGTGCAAACGCTGGTCTGGAGTAGTTACTAGCCTCTGCGCAATACTGAGTGACCAAGAATATGTTGTGCAAATCACCCACTCTCCCTTCTTAGCAATCTGTCAGGTTGAAGCCTTTTTTCCAATCCTCGGACTCCTTCGGATCCTTTTGTTGGCGCCTCCCCTTGCCCCCATCGCAGCAGACGCGTCCTCCATCTGCATCTTTTCGCGGGCGCATTCTTCTTGCAGGGAGGCCAAGCTAAGCTTCAGCTTATCCACCTGCACCCCCAGTGTCTGTAGTGCTGCAGTTCCACACTCAGAGCAGGGACCCCGAACACTCAAAGCAAAGACCTCGAAGTCGACTTCGTTCGCTTCCAACACTGTCTTCATCGATCTTTTTCAACCCTTGCAGACGCCCCCAACCCAAGAGGTCTGCCCAAAAAGGACGATACTACACGCCGCAGCAAGCCAGAAAATAGAAGACCCACCAGGCCACGCGTGGGCGAAACGCCCGCGGTCGCGCCTCCGCTGCGTCCCTCAGGGAAGGCGCCGCGCTGCCGATGGAGATCTGGCGTCGAGAAGTTCCGCACCACCAGGACCGGAGTTGGGGTGGATGTTCTGCTCCAAACGGGCAGATCAAGGACTCCACACGGGGTCGCCACACGGTCCGGTGCCTCCTCCGGAGTTCCTCGGGGAGCCTTGGAGTCCTAATTAAGATCATTTCATCAACAAACAACCCAGGTTCGGGAACACCCGAATGCAGAAGCTTCGGAGTCCAAAGAACTTCTGAAGCCTCCTCCCAAGAGTGGGGTCATCGGAACCAGTCGGGTCATAAGAAGCGTCACCGGTTCGGAAGGCCACAGGCTTCCGCCACCCGGTTCCTTCATATGTTTCTCTTTGGGTTACTGAACTCATGATTGTTTCATGGGTGAATGCATTGGGAATTCAAAATGGAAGAAGACATTCAGGTTTTTCGCTGCAATCTCCTGCCAAACCAAACAATAAAGCTGCTTCGCCCTCTTTTTCAGTGCATAGGGTTTCGACCTAGCTCAAATGGTTTCTGTACATATTTTTTCAGCTTCTTTTCTATCCCCTGCATGGATCGTAGACTTCCGCACGACTTCCGCACGAGGCCTCGTGGACTGCATCCTGGTGCACGACAATGGCGCAACAGGCGCGAAAAAATACATCACAAAAAAAGTGCCATTGTCGTGGGTCAAGGAGAAAGGAACTGCCCAAAACATGGCGCTTGCTGCTTGGTCGTCGGCGTCCTCCGTGGCTTCCGTGGTCTTCTGGGCATCTTCGATCTGCGCAGCACTCCACTCCCGATACTCCTGGTGGCCAAAAAGAAATATCGAACTCGACGAAAAAGAAAAAGTCTCAGACTGCTTGGAAGATCTGCAGCGAAATATCTGAGCCTTGGTCTTGGTCTCTCCACTTTTTTCAAAAAGGGGTCGGCGGCTTTTTAGTAGCCGAGTTGCGGAGCCAAGTGAGGACTCTGCGCAAGCATCTCAGAAGCCACGTGGGAATGTTGAATCAAAGGAGTCACGTAGACTCTTGATTCAAACTCCCCAGACATGGACTGGATCACTATATACCCCCCCTGGACTTCAGGAACAGTCCAAGTGTGCGTGAAAGAACCTCACAAAGAACCTCCCCCCAACTCCTGTCAGCGAACCGCTGGCTACCGCTGGAAGCTCTTGAAGCATTCGCGAAGATTCGCGTGTCGGTCGGTCTCCTCGAAGATTCGATTCAGCTGTTCAAGCCGCTCTTTCATATGCCGGCCCTCGCGGTCCTGACGCTATCGATGGGACGCTAAACTTCACCGAGCGAAACCACCGGTCCGGAACAAAAGGAGCAGAAGAAGACGTCCCAGTCCGGTGCCACTTTGGGCATTCTGGAGATCTCTATCCTCGTTTTGGGGCCAAAGATGCCTTTGCAGATGCGTTGGGCAAGACGTGTGACACCTAACCTATCCTCCATAGCATTCCAAACCACGATCGATTTAACAGCTAAGGTACCCATGCAACCAAGTCATTCATCGTCTAGTGCTCCACCAAGCCCCCACAGGTACGTGTACGACCCATCTCTGGATGCAGCTCCTTCTCTGCGAACTCGGCCTGGAGCAATCTCTTTTCCTGGCCAATCTCGGCGAACTCGCCGTGTTCGCTCAACCGTACGTTCGCTTTCAACTGGACGGGCTGCATCGGCCTTTTCGCAAAAATCCGGTTCTGGCATGGCATCGCTGCCCCCTTCACGGTCGTCTCCTCCCGCAACTGAACTGAACCTTCCCCACCCCTTTCCTCCCAAGAAGGGCAACCCCCGGTGAGAGCCACCGGCAACCTGCCCGAGCGCTTGCGCAGGTGCGGCAGGGCCTCGAGGACTTCGTGGAGAGCCAACTCCTCCTTTTGCAGTCGCTCGCTATGCGAAGCTGAGAGCACCTGAGAGCACGAGCGCGAGCGCAGGACGCTGGCGAAAGGCCGATGGACGGAGGGCCGATGGCAGAGAGCAAGGCCGATGGCAGAAGGATCCGGCACACAGATCCGGCACCCCAAAAAGGAACCGACGATCACGGAGTCGACGTCAGATTCGGAGTCACCAGAATCGCAAACAACTCTTGTTGATGTAGTTCCTCTTTCAAGTAAACTGGTCGAGCCTGTTCCGAGGGATTGTCATACCGACACATCACCACATGACCCACCTCTTCCATCATCGTCCCGTCTTCTCCTTCTTCCCCACCCCAAACATCCCCCCCAAACCCACACGTGTAGTCATGCTTTTTAAACATAAGCAAAATTGTTCACTCAGAAAACCCTGCAAAACCCCTCATCTCAAACCTCTCAATCTCTTATCTTGTTCAAAGCAAACCCCCCAGCTCTATGCCCCCCAAAACCATGTAAACCGCAACCACCCCCTGACCCTCACCCCTCACCTCTACTCAAAGACCTGGACCCACAGCCTGCGCGTGGCTCTTCTGCTCATCAAATTGCAACGCCACCAGGGCGTCCGTCGGCTCCGACACATCGACGCCTCGGGTCGATGCCAAGACGCCCGTGGAGGGTCGGTGCCAAGACGGAAACGTCCCCAAGACAGAGGTGCCTGGTATGATTCTGGAGGGAAAGTCGAGGGAGGAGCCCGAAAAGTGGCAAGTTGCTGAGGTGAAACAAGCTAAGCCATGACCGGCCCGAGGTCCCACCTCGCTTCGACACCACACCACCGTGAAAAGATCTGCAGGCCTACAGAGCACAACCTTAACACACTGTACAAACCCCAAGCTCGACGTTCAGCCTGCCGAAAGCAAACCAAAAAATTCAGTCAACCGTCATTCTCCTTGCCATCACAGCCTAAGAGCCCCCCACGAACTCTGAAGTCAAAGGCTGCTTCCTCACCCAGCTCATGATCTAAATATTCGGCCACGTCATTGACCTGAACCAGGAAGAGCAAGACTTTTTCAACGGATTTGACACTGCGAGGCAACCAGGGTGCGAGCGTGGGTATGGCTCAAAAACAGGGTCTGGTAAAGGGAATATACAAGTATATAGTAGTATTCAGTATATAGTCTAACACCTGTGGGTTGCCGGCGGCTCCTTTTCTGGAGCCACATCCGTGTGAGTTTAACGGAATGAAACTGCCCTTGCCGTGAGAGTATGGGCGTCTGGAGAGAAGAGAACATGTCGTCTGACGGGTCTTCATGATTGGAAAAAGACATGCAATTGATCTGATCCAGATCTTCCCCTATCTTTCCCTTGCAAAACCAGAGATCCGGCACTTGGCGCAGCGTCGAAGCTGTCCATCCGTGTTTCGGTGCGTTGAACGCCCACGGCCCAACGGACGGCCTGTCGGACCAAGCGGGCAATCTCCTCCGCTCGACTTTGCCTGAGATGCGGCGGATCAGCTTCAGATTGAGGATCCACGGGGTTCCACACATCTCAGGACCATCACTGTCAGGTTTGATCACTGTCACTGTCATGATTATCACATCACACATCACTGTCACTGTCATGATTATCACTTAAACATCTCAAAGACCCTGATCTGCTGTCTACCCTCTCCAAAGATCTGTCTCCTCCGTCGACTTCTGGGGTCCAACTTCGGCGCACATTTAGGGAGCTCGAACGTTTGCCCTCCCCAGCCGTGGAAACACCTGTATATACCTCTAGAATTCCAAAGACATCCAAAGACTATTGTTTGACCGGCTCAAGTAAAGGAAGTTCCCTTTCAGGTCCCCTAGTCAGACCATTCCTTTTGTCTTTGACTTCCACGGTATAGATATCGCTCCAAGGCTCCCTGCTCTTGCATGCCCAGCTCCCACACTTCTTCATCAGCTCGTTCACCTTCGGCCTCAAGGGACGCGGGGCCACGGCGTGACGGTGTGAGGCCACCGGCCACCCCAGTCAAAGCCGTTGAAGTCATGGGGCGGCCAGGGAAGTCATGCGGTCCCTGTTCGACGTGTCTGAAAAACCTGGGGAGCCAACGTCCTAATCACATCTTGTCCTAACTTTCTACTGTAGCCATTCCGTTTTTCCGGGCCAGGCCAGGCTGCACGACTTCTATGTTGACTAATGTTGATAGATCTCTTTAAGTCAAGTGTAAAAGTGACCAACTTAGGCTGTCGGACATGAGCCATGATGACCCATGAACTCACCAACTCGTCCATCTCAGACCCATCCCCTCTCAGCTTCTCCACCTCACCTCCGCCACCTCCCCTTCTCCATAACCCCGGTCCCATCTCCAATGCCGGTTTTCCCAGCCCGACCCATCTCTGCCGCCTTCAAATCCTTGAAGAGCTGTCGAAGATGCGCCCGCTCCGCATGCAACCGATCGATGTCTCGCTTGGAATAGGCCTGTCGGGATGCGCGGTCCCCGCGCGTCCTTCTGGTGCGACGGCGCATCTCGCGTCAACCAGAACGAAGGAAGTTCAGACGTTTCTCCATTGGTTCAAACAGGAAAATGGCTAGAGTTTGTGGCACATGACATGTTGCAACATACCTTTCTTGATCATGTGCTTGTAGTTCTAACCTACATTCATGCTTTTGGGGCTCTATTTGCCCAGGGCAAGGGAAGCTTACAAGACAGGCTGAGCTTGTACCAGTTCCCTGTTGGGAACTAAGACTTTTGCCGTCATAGAAAAAGAAATTGGAGAGACTCTTACAAGCAAGACCCCAAGGTATGGCCAAGATCCCAAGATCTCTTCCAGGCACGATGCCAATCCTCCGGATCAACCCAAAACATTCACAGCCAAGTCCAACGTTCCCAGCAGAAACTCAGCCTGGCCTGGCTTTCCACCTGCTCCGCAAGAGCAGCTCGTTTGGCCTGGCCCGTTCTCGTTGGCTCCACTGGGCATGGCAGCTTCAGATCATCGGCCAAAACAGGCGAAAGAATGACACTGTAGACGATGAGAATGACGGCCGTTGAAAAGCGAACCGCTCACCTGTGGAGACCTGATCCTCTCTCTCTCTCTCTAGATTCTCTAGATGAGAAGAACGTAGACTGACGACTCAGACGATGAACAAAACCCTTCAGACTCTTGATTCGAACAAAACCTCTTCATCTGGGTTGAAATTTCATCTAAGAGTCTACAATCTATCGTCCACCCGACATGATCGAGTCCCATTCTGCCTGTAAAGCCTCGATCTCGTGCTGCTGCTCGAGGGCCTCCGCCTGGCGACGGAAGAAGCGACAAAACCGACGCCAACCCGGTGCAGTCAAGCGGCGTCTGGGATGACTCAGAGCGGGTGAGGAGACCTCTGGTAGCAAATATTACCAAATGCCATCTCTGAAATTTATTGAAGCTCACCAAACATATTGGCATGCAGTAATTCGAATCATGTAGGGATGGACTTCAAGCCCCAAGCGGTCTCTTTTGGAGTGGTCGCGGGTCCAACATCGGTGAATACCCAACGAAATGACCTCTGCCCACCACACCCACCACACCCACGTCTCCCCCCGCCTCTTTCACCACAATCTCATCCTCGATGGTCTGCACCTGGTGCTCTTGGGCCTGCGACATCCAACGGGCATTTCGACCGCCTCCAACGCCTGTTCGAGGCTCCCCCCCACCCGGTTTCGCCGGGAGGGGACCGGTTCGCCGTCCCAACGACCGGTGGTTCGGCCTGAAGCGTGGCACGCAAGCGATCCGCTTCCATCTCCAACCTCGGGAAGCTCCGGCCGCCGCTTCGAGACGACGTTCGACGTACGTCTCCGTGCAGAGATGGGGACCGGAACTGCAGGGCGTTCCGGAGGAACTGCCGGCGTTCAGGGTTTGCTGAGTAGGCTGGGTGACCTTCTGCACCCGGTTCCATGGATGGATTCCATGCACCGTGGGCTGAGGCCGTCCATCCGGCACCGTCCGCTGAGGGCTCCCGCTGCGCGGGCATCTTTTGCAGTTCCAGCAGCCTCTCGTGCTCGTGGTGGAAATCCTGGAGCCTCGCAGTGGGCAGAATCGGACGCTCAATGTATCCTGGGTCGATCGATGTATCCTGGGCCCTGTTCACGCAAGAAATCGACCCCAAAGCTGCATCCCCAAAGCCTCTACCAACTCCGGCTTTTTTCGATTTCTGAGTCATCAAACCTCTTGAACACAGTCTCCTCCACCAATCCCCCAAAAAGCCCTCAGCACTCAGGCCGGACTGCCCCGGACCCCCGGCGTCTTTTCGTCCACGTCCAACCGATGCATCCGGCAGCGGACGGGGCCCAGGCCTCCTCTGCATGTCGTCTTGCTGGTTCTCCAGGCGTTGGATTTCAGCTTTCAAGGCATCAATCCGCTGGGTGTAGATCATGCGAAGCCTCCACGGCTCAAATTCGGCCGGAGGAGCATACACTCCCAATCGGGACTGCTCTGCAAGAGGTGTGAGTGTTACAACAACCAAGGTTTTCCAGTTAAGGATCCCCAGCAGTCCACTTCGGCAAAATCGTCAGGGCCTGTGCACCAACATGCCGGTGAAAAAGAAACCACGTGCACCCTACAACCACCTGCAACCCGTGGCCCAAACATGAAGACGCGCCGTATTAGGAATTGGAAGGAAAACCCCAGCCGTTTGGCCAGATGCAAAGCAGATTGGGCATTTCTGGGAAATGCAGACTGCTCTCTATTCTCTGGGGAGACGACAGAGCCGGCCTTTCTTCATCACCGCAATCGTCCTTTCCGCTCAAGAAGCCCAGGTAGTTCTCGTGAAGAGAGCGAAGAACATGATGGTCGCCTGCAAGGATCGTTTCGACCAAAAAAGAAAACAAAAGAGACAGAAAACGGCATCAAAATTGGCTCTTTCGAGAATCAAACTGGGAAAACAACTCGCGCGATGTCATACATATATAGGAATACTGATATAGTTTAATCGGTTCATAGACTACTTGGCAATCAAGATCAATCATATATCTTCAAAGCCACAAGTCGCCTGCATCTCGATCAGGATCCCCCACATCCTCAGACCGCATCTGTCGCCGAGGGTCGTCCGGGTCGTTGTCCGGTCCCCGAGGGTCCGGACGCACAAGCCCAGTTGACAGGCCGCCAGGGGCTCCACCAGCTCGTCGTTGATGCGGACCTCGTTCGGCGCGCGGCGGCACGGCGCGTGCCACGTGAAGCGGCTCTTTGGGGCGCCACAAGAACGGAGGGAGAAACGGCTTCTTCGTGTGGACGAACGATGGTTTCAAGTGAGCGGCTCGGTGGAATGACACTGGCTGAAGGAGGAACCAGTTCAGATTGGAGGTCTTTTTGCCATCAACGAATGAGGAAAGAGATGGATCTCATCGTTTCTTGAAGACCACGTTTTCGGGACAAGCCCTCACACACAGGCCAAAAAACAAGCTTGCTTCTCTCACCTTGGATGGGACACAATCGGTTCTTTTGCTTCCAGGGTTGCACCAGAAGTCGAGGTCCTTTTGGCCCAAAGCAGACCGCTGCCACAGGGTGAAACCCTCTCGACCTCACCAAAGCGAACACCTGGAGCGAGGGGAACCTCAAGCCACCCCACGAGGACCGTAAGCCAATCCAGCACGGCCAAGAGCTGCCTTGGAGAGAGCGACCACCAAGTGGAAGAAAACACCCAAAGATCTGGGTGTGGTGTGTATCAGAAATAGGGAGACCCCGCTCTTCGGAAGAGTCTTAGTCTTAGTCTTAGTCTATCAATTTGTTTCCCTTCTCAGGAGTCTCGCTTGTTTTAGTCTTTTCGGTGTCTCTTTTTCAACATGCACCCACAAAAGATCTCCTGAGTGCTTCAGTCCAATCCACGCGATTCAAAGGATTTTGCAGGACAATGAGTTCTCCTCTTGCAAAGCTGGAAATCCGTTCAACATCTTCAACGAGTCTAGAGCAACTAAACATCCCTTTGCCATCCCTTCTCCATTGGGACCACCACGGCCAAGTATTGGGACCGCTGATGGCCTCGCACATCCCATGAGTCACGTCACCGCGCTTCGGAATTCTCGGAAGGAAATCCCCCCCTGCTCACCGACATGGCCGACGGCCCGATCGAAGGCAGCCCTCGGCCTGCGCACCCGAGCAGAAAAGTTGAACTGCCCGGGTGGGTCCCAAAAAAACGATCCAAAACGTCGAGAACCATCTCAAATAGCACCAGAGTTACACCTTCTCTGAAGCTTAAGCAGGATCTGTTCGGTGTCATGATGCTGATAATGCTCACCATTTCTATAGCATTTAGCTGCATCACAGGGCAATCTACTATCACTTCTGTTCTGTTTTGCTGAAGACTCGGATCAAACAGGCCCACCCTTGCAAGAATCGACCCCATGAGTATGTTCATCCAGCACCCCGCCCCATCTGCAGGTGCAAGCGAAAACCAGTTAGGAGTTCCAGTACTATTCAGATCCACAGGTGTTTTTAGAACAGCACCGGACTCCGAGCACCCCAAGTCTCCCACCATCCGGACTCGACGACACGACCGACGCTTCGCCTGCAGCTTCGATCGGTTCACCTCCACGGGGTACTTCAGTCGACGCATGATCGCAGGAACCTGGAGCGGTCTGCCACGCGGTCGGGAAAGCGCGAAGACCTGCCACCATGGAAAACCGGACGTCCCTTTGAAAAGCTCATCCTCTTCCTTTGACCCGGGCTCAACCAGGTTGTGGGGCTATTTGACAATTTGTCTCATATATAAAGGAAACCACAGAGAAACCACAGATGCTGTTGCGCATGAAAACTGCTGCTTGCACCTCATCTTCCATCTTCCCTTCGACTTCCAATTGTGGATCCTGAGTGTCAACTCCAAAAATGGAGAACAAGAAAAACTAACATGCTAGAGGAAGAATTGCAGAAAGCAGCAACTGCGTGTATTCTGAATTTCTAGCTGCAAAAAAGAGTCCAGCTGTGAGATCAAGAAGCGAAAGACGTCATAGAACTCTTTGGTCGATGGGTCCTGCGAACTTGCAGTTATATAGACTCCAAGAGCTCCAGACTCCAAACTGGGAAAGCTCAAGACCCGCGCAACTTGAGCTGTTCGTGCGAAATCTGTCCTTGAGCAACTTGTCGTGCGAAAAGGTCTTGGCAAAGCCTCTCGCCTTCCAACTGATGACTCTCTGAAGCCAAGGTCAACGAGAACCAGGACCTTCCCAGTGACCGAACTTGAGATCCCAGTGACGGGTCGGTCACGAAATGGCCTTGATTTCAGGTCACTGACCAATCCTGAAGAGGTCACTGGGAAGGTCCTGGTTCTTTTGTATTTGTTGTTGCTTCCCTTTTGTTCGATTCCGAAGCACCCCCTTGGACAACTCCCTCATTGGGGGGTTCAGTTCTTCAAAAGGCCCAAACTGGGACGACTGCCGAAACGGGGGAAGGTGGGAAGTTCCGGAGATTGCTGTCCCCCCGATTGCCGTGGCATTCGGGTGCTGATGTGACTGCGGAAAAATGGATCCCAAAATAGCGAGCCTGGGGTCCCAGTGGGGGCCAAGGGCCCAGGGGGTGGTCCTTCTGTGCCTTCAACTCTACCAGAGAGTTTTCAACAAAACGGTTCCCACCGTCAAGAGCTCCACCACGTTCTTGGCGCACTGCGCAGTGAAGGCACGTTCGCCCACTGGACGCGGATCACGCGAGTGCCTCGTGAGGGTCAGAGTCAGAGGCATCCGAACTGTGGCATGCTGGAGGGAATATCTGGCAGACCCTCCAGCTAGTGACAAAGCAAAGACCTATCCCAAAACTTAACCGAAAAACACAGCAGAGTCTTCGAATCGGCACCTCGCTGTGGTCAAAGCTCTGGCCCTTCCTTGGTCAAAGCTCGTGCCCAGTCATTTGCAGCTCAAAATGCTTGACATTCCAAACCACCGCCCAAAAGCAACAAATGTATTGGAACAAGAAGAACCTCCCAGCTTCCATTTGAGTCAACCCTTCATCAGATTCCATGAGGCTATGGCGCTATGTCTGGTCACCATCTCTTGCAAACATGCACTGGATTGGAACCTTAAAAGTACTGTGCTCCCCGCCGGTCGATTGGAAGAGTGCACGCCTCCACAGCAGGACACGACGCCAAGCAAATGATGAATGGAATATGATGGAATATGTCTGATTCCTGAAGTCTGTCAAGCATAGTAACATGGAAGAAGTAGACATGGCTTTAAAGTCAAGGGCTTCCGGATCGCCTGCGTGGTGACGTTCCGACCTCTTCTCCCGAACCCACCGAGGAGGCTCCAGGAGACTGGGCACGCAGTCGCCCCGGTGACTGGGCACGGAGCCGGCTCACTCGAGAGGGCCTTAGGGCTTCGAGGAACGTCCGTGGACGGGGGCTCCGCCAGTCCTCAAGCGGCCACAAGCTGCAAGCTGCCAGCTGCGGGAGCTATTGTGTGGACTATACATGTGGTTTTCTTGGAGGATGGCTTGGTGGGCACCCCAAAATCAACCAGACACTCTGGTGGGGCCCACTGAGACTCGACTCGAGTCTAAGACATTTTGGGGCGAAACTGAGACGCAACAAGTAGTTTGCAGCAATAGTTTGCAGTTCAGGAGATTCAACTCACCCAATTCACCAGTTGGTTGCTTTCGACGTGTCCTATAAACAAACAAAAACAACCAATTGTCCCAAGCAATTGTCAGCTGAGACGGAAGCTCACCCAGCGATGGGCGCAACTTCTGCTTCGGAGTGCTCATCATGGCACCTTGCCACAGATTTAGTTGCGAAGAATGTGCCGAAACATGATGTGCAGCATGATGTGGGTGTGTATTTTAATAGGGAGACCGCCTGGCCCTGGCTGGGTGGACTGGTCTATTTCCCTTCTTCCAGGGAGTCAAACTGAGAGGTCTTGCGGTCTCCCTGATTGAATACACCCCCATGTGCAGTGGGACCAGGCCTGGTGCCTACCCAGTCGAACTTCAGCTCAAGGCGCGGGCACCCACAGCCAAATGCTGCAAGCTGCTCACATGGAAAGTGGAATTGAAAACAAACAAACAACCCAACAAACTTTCATACACTTTCTCTTTTCATTGAGCGATCAAGCCGCAAATGTGGGCCGCAAGCTTTGGCAGCCACTGAACGGAAAACGCCATCTTCCTTACCTGACCATCTTCATGGCCCTGCAAGGTATGCCCCGTAGCCTTCGGCCAAAAGGCGCATGGATCTCGTATCACACAAGAGTTCTGCTCCAAAGCTACTCGTAGTTCTGAACCGACCCCACCAACCACCTCCACCCCAGTCCTCACCGATTTCCACCCGCAACACGTGGTCCTTGGGCAGTTGCTTCAAGAGGCGCTGGGCCAAGTGCCGCTCCAGCTGCACCGCCTCGCGCCGTGCCGCGCGGCCGGACAAGGTGTGGAAGAGTCCTCCGGCCGTGGCTTTCAGCTCGGTCAGGTGCCTCAACGTGGGCCAATCTGGTGCGAAAAGGATTGTAAGAAGTAGACTAAGCCCCACCACCAGCAACACGAGCCAAGCACGCAAGCGCACCAACCAAAGAAATGGCATTGCAAACATCAATAAGTTTTTCCGGGAAAACTCCGGCACGGGTTCTGAAAATCTCCGAAAGTCTGCGACTTCAGGATGTGGCGAAATGACCAGCGATGAAGAGATGGGAACCAAGCCGTCATGCGCACCTCCAACCAGAATGACCCGCTGAAAACATCTCAAGGCATCGTCCGTCTCGCACAGCCGGCGAAGCCGGCCGGTTCGCATCTGCCTCCCATCGCCGTGCCGAAGTTGCTCCAGCCATAGCGGGCTGCCCATGAACTGCTTCAGCACCCACAACTTCAAGGAGTGAGTCCATGAACAAGTAGGCCATAGACCCAAATGTGGCGTACCGATGGACATCAAGGTCATCAAAGAGTCCCGGCCGAAAACAGCCAGCCAAGAGATGGCTGCACGGATGATGAGCCCACCGGTGCCAATCCCCACAAAGCTGAGATGTTTCAGATCCAGGCACGTCTCTAAGACCTCATTCACTTCATTGGCCAAGCACAGTGCCGCAGCATCGAGATCCGTGCTGTTCTGCTTGGCACTCTGTGCTGCTGTGCTCAAGAGGAAACGTGCATCGGGCAAAACTGCCTGTAGTTCTTGCTGAAAGGAGTTCACTTGCGCAAAGTCAATGTCTGCATGACCTGGAACCAAACACACCAAGCAGTCAGCTCCACTGCTGACACGGAAGTGCTCCTCTGGTCGGCACCGGGGGCCTTCTTCTTTCACAATCCATGCAGTCTCTTTGGATCTGCAAAACATGGAAGTAAAAAAATATTGTTTTGTCCCTCGAAAAAATCGTTCCCACCACAACAAAAATAAACTAAACGCTTTACGTACAGAACTCTTTTGTGGTTGCGTAAAGTGGGATTTCTGTAGGTGTGAATACCAAAGGGTTCTTCCAACAATCGAGTGGATGGTTTGGCTTGGCGATGCTGGGGGGACTGACGGGATGTGTCACAAAAGTGTCTCGTCGGATTCTTCTACATTCTGTCGGCTTCAAAAACCTGCGAACACAATCGACACAATGGCTTTTGGGCTGAAGAACTGCCTCGCAACGCATGAAAGTATAATTGTGGCCTTTGGGGACCCTGAGACAAACTGTGTGACCAAATGTGATTTTTCTGGACTTTGCAGCTAAATATGGCAAATGAAAGTTTCGGTTGAAAAGACTGGGGCATTGACAAAAACTTCGGCACAGCTCACTTGTGCTTTAGAGCCACGGTCTGTGTCATTCTTGCAGGGGCTTCTGTGTGCTGAAGTCGGACACCCGGCCTCAAGGCTGGTTCAGCCTTGCGTTTTTCTTTCCACATACACAATTCTTGAACTGCGTTTTGGAAGCAAAAACTGTGTGCATTGAGCTCTCACTTTGAAAAGTGATGGAGCCCCAATTGTTTTTCAGGATCGCTCACTTCGCACACTAAAATTGCTATAGACCGTCTGGTTCTTGCTTCCGCTTGGTGTTTCCATCTTATCCCCACATCAGCGGACTTTGCTGCTCCACTGCTGTTCTCGATGAAAAGGCTCATGGAGGATGTTGCCCTTACTTTCAAGAAACAATTTTTCCCGAGAGCACCTGAGCGAAGAGTTCTTCCCGAAGAACAGGACCGACAACATTGTCCTCACCGATCATCACAACTTACATGTGCACACAAATCAACATCTTTTCACATTTCGCACTTGCACATCTGCACACATCCAAACACACAAATCTTCACATCTTCACATATCCAGACATGCAGAACTTCACATCTGCGCATTTGCACACCTGCACATGTCCAAACATGACATCTCTCCCTTGCCGTCTCTCATTCTCTCTCTTCTCTCACTCATTCTCTTCTCCCACATGGACCTGTGCGCACGGTTGCCGACAAATCAAGAACGCGATCTTGCATGTCGTGCCCTCAACACGCACGATCTCCGCGTGAAGATGAAGATGAAGATGACTGCCGACATCGCAAGAGCGCGAAGGTCAACTGCTGTAGACAACAACACACCAACAAAAAACAGTAAACAAAGAGGGGGGACCCACCACAGGACCAAACCAGTAATTTTGTGGATTTTCATCGTGGGATTCAGTGTGAGACAAAAACCTGCATGGATGAGTTGCTGCGAGGCCAGCTTTCAGTAATTCCGAGAAAATGCATCATCTAAAGCACTCTTGACAGTTCAGCGTGCGTCAGATTGCCACGAAATCTGCACCTCGAGCCTTACACAGTGCTGCGCCTGCACATGGAGGTTCACACAGTGCTGTGCCTGCCACGAAAGGTTTACATGGAGGTTCAGAAAGTGCTGCGCCTGCCACGAAATCTGCACATGGAGGTTTCACAAAGTGCTGTCTGCCACGAAATCTGCACATGGAGGTTCACAAAGTGCTGTGCCTGCCACGAAATCTGCACGTCAAGAAACAACTGAAACTTTTATCACAATGGAAGCTCGAAACATGCAAAAAAGGCTGGCCTCCGCACCAACCAAGTCCACGGCCAAATAGCAAAGAGATGGCTTCTGTGCGGCCTCTATCACCCTGTCACAAGAACGAGTTTCCACGGAAAAGCACGGCCTGCGTCTCACCCAGCGAGACTCAACTGCATCTGCTGGACCTGACACTAGAATGGTTGGAGAGCAAGGATCACCAAGTGAAAATGGTTGGAGAAGCTGCCCAAGTGAAACAATGGCTGGAGAGCAAGTTCAAGTGAAAAGACACCCAAGTGAAACAATGGTTGAAAGCAAGATCGCCCAAAAGCAATGAATGGAGTGAAAAGTGGGAAAGGCTTGCATACGGACGTGCAGATGTTCCACATCGCCGCACAGACTTTGTTGTGAAAATACGGAAGCGCAAGCGTCCCCTTTTTAGGTCCCGCTCCCTGAGCCAAACATCACAGTCGGTTTGATTGTATCAAAGTCCTTCATCTCTTCTTCTAGAGGTCTGACTGGTCGCAGTCGTCCAAAACATGTTAAAAGAACAAGAAAGCATCTCCAATCACTCTCAAGCTATTCCATACTATACACAGCTCTACACAGCTCTAGCCAGGGCTTCTCTAAAGGTGTTCCTAGCCACTCTTGGTCACAATCCACCTTGTCCTGCTAAGGAGGTCAAAGAGAACACACTCCAAAAAGGAAGAACCCTACTCAGCTCCAACCCCAAGGACAGAAAAACGAAAAGTTTCAATACAGACAGGTACTAGGTGATCCACACACCGTACAGGCGTCCTGCTACCCACACTTTTCACACCCCTTCTTGGGTCACCTTGTACCTTCTTCTGGTTCTCCCTGTCTTCTTCTTCTCTTCTCTTCGTTTTCTCTGAGCAACTAAGGTTCAAGCGTCAACTAAGATCTCAACTCCTGTCCTCCAAAATGATCTCCAGGTCAAACGTCAACAAATCCCAGACGACAAGCAACAAGCAAGTCCAAAACTCAATCAACCAAGGTCAAACACGCAAGACAACAAGCTCAACAGCCAAAGATCCCTCAGAGAGCAAGTCTTCTGGAATCTCACAGTGATGATTCCTATCACTTGCTTTCCTCATCCTTGGGATCTTGAAGGCTCAACGCTTTCAAGATGGTACCTGACAGGTCGAAACGGCAAACGAGAAAAGAAATCTAGCCAACCCTCTAGTTACAAACCCTTTTACTGTTCACACTCCACTCCTCTTAGATAAACCCTGTTAGTTACAGGCGACTGCAATCCAGATCTTAGATAAACCCTTGCAGACAGCATCAACTCGCAAGTACAGGTACTCTTCACACAAATCTTTGGTTACAACCCTTGCTCTCGCAGATTCCCAGTCTCTCGCCTTATCCACTGGTCTCCTTGCAAGACAAAAAGGAAATGAACAGAATCTCAAAGACTTGATCCCTCTAAGAGTACACATCTCTTGACTCGCACAAGATGAAAACTGTCACAAATCTCAATCTATCCAAGTCCAATTCCACAAAAACCGAAAATCACTGCTGAAGCCCCAAAAGGATACACCCTAGCAAACTTCAAGAGACTCAAATGACTCTCGCACAAACTCCCTCTTTTTGAAAGCTCGGCGCAGGACCAAAAACCAAATCACAGGCCGCCATACGAGGCCACCTCCCCAACTCGATCCATAGGCTCAGGCCGCCAAATGGTGAACACCTATACATCTGGTGTCACTTCTGTCCACTGAAGTCGACCGTCTGTCATCTTCTGACGCTTCCACATGCTCTCGGTCGCGTCCATTGC